AAAAAAGATATAACGTATTAGAACTTTACTTTAGAAATTCCAGCAATCGGTATGCATAATTCGCCCAATTCCATCAGGCAACGCCACGGAAGCGGTTTAGTAGATGGCCGTTTGTAGAAGCGCACATCTGACATTGCATGTTCAAATGTGAGATACTGACCATTAATCTGTAAAAAAAAAATATATATATATATATACACACACACACGCATATATATCAAATATAGTAATATAATGAATAAATATACATATTTATTAGATCATTATTACATTCTATATAATTAGATATAAAATTTATAATTTATTATAATTTAATGATTGTCTACACATTTGTCTAAATTACCTGTTGTAGAACATTCATAAGTAGTATTTCACTGGGTGTTTGAGAATCTTCATCTATATCATGTAATGCTCTTTCTCCACTATAACATATCAAATTTTTTGTTCTATTTTATATTTTTATTCTAACTTCATGCATAACATTAATCTAAACTTCATCTGTTATTACTATTACTAATATTAACAATATAATTAAAATAATACTACAGTATAGTCAATACATTGCTATGAGTGAGACTGCTTCTGAATTTAATATCTCTATTATATCCTCTGCCTGAAATTGATCAACAACATTTTCCTCCTCATTGAAAGAAGACAACAAGATTATTTTCCTGTCACATTTATCTCTGTAATAAGAAACATAGTAAATATAATATATATTGATTAAAATTTAACATTACGCTATATTTAAATACACTTACACGCATTCGTGTTTAATATATTCGACTGCAGCATAAATTGCATCCATCCAAGAACAAGTCTGATTTGTGGGTTTGAGTTTCTCGATGCTTTTTATCAAATTCCAATTTCCAATTTGCATGTTACAAAGTTCCTGTGCATTATTTAATCCTGTAATACTGTCGCTTGTACTACTATCTGAGCCCATCAATATCACTCCCATTTCATCTTTAGGACGTAGAAATATCTGTGCAGTATGCTCATAATTAACAGAAACTCGAATACGAGTGACTGTTAGAGAATATTTTCCATTTGGTAATACAAGTTAGTACAAGTGTTGTTCTATCTTTTAGCACATTTGGACACTTACATTTAGATTAATGCATATTAAAAATGATTATATATGAAATTAACAAAGTTAAATATATAGAATAAATATTTTAAACAATTAAATATTCAATATAATGATATTGTCACATATTATTTAACAAAATATACATATATTTATTTCATTGTTAAGGTTGATCATATATTACGCCACTGCGTTTAGATTTTTATATAAAGTAGTTTTTTCAATGTAAATAACTTGGTGTATAACTAATCCAGTGTAATGCAAATGACCGAATTCACTATTATTTTTCACTGAATGTCAAAAAAGATAGAATGATATTTGTGTCAACTTATGTCATTACATGGAAACATCCTTTAACACTATGGCAAAAAGAAGCGTACCTTCTTTTGAATAATATGTTTAACAATGAACTTCTCTTTGTCCAACAGCTGCAAATTACTCTGTGTCCCAGGTTGGACGATTCCAACATTCATCACAAAAGTTATACTCTCCTGTTGACATGAAAGACAAATGTTTGACAATTCAAATAAATGTAATGTCAGAATATATAATTGTATAATTTATCATACAATTTATAATACAATTTATTAAACAAAAATAATATATATTTCACATATATTTTACACTCTGTGCTATATTCTAACATATAATTTTAAATCATCGTCTTATCGAGCAAGAGTGTGTTTATTTTAGACTCTTTAACAAATTTGAAAAATATCAAACTACAACCTTTAATTTTGGCGGCATTTTTTGTGTTATCGAAGACACTGGAAGACACTTGCAGATATTCGAGGTTTCCAGTGAGAATAAACTCTTTAATTCCTAAAACTTGTGTTCAACGTATCAGGCGCGCGCAGTTTCACTCAATCTCCACAATCAATATTTCCAAATCAAACCTCAAAAATGAACGTAACCTAACTTACGTGTCACCTGAATTGACCTAAACACGGCTATGCGCCTATAAGTACGTCAGTGTCAATTTCGTTTGACACGTTTGCAACTTTGTACTTGTTTGTATCATTTGTGAATAGTATATCACGTGGCTCGTGCAATCGTTTATGAATAAAACACAAAAATGGTCTTTCTGAACGCAAAATTTATTCTTTTAATAAATCTGGGTCTGTCGGTTCATACCAGTGTAGGGGAGAACAAATACCACAAATATTCCGCTGACGCAAATGAGGATAAATATGTAGATTCCTCGCAGTTCCCAACATCTCTCAGAGACTTGGATTTGCCATTCAGGATGGCAAAATTGAATGTGCTTTGGGTTAAGGCCAAAAATGTGAGTAACGGATTGCACATAGAATACAATGAAAAAATATAATAAATAAGTAAATATACTTTCTAAAATTTAAAGTAAATCTGATGACTCTTAAAGACTGAAAATTGAGCCATTTTTTTCAAGACTGGCTCAATTTCCACTCTTTAGAGTAAAATTATACTCCAAAGAATTTAGAGTATAGATATTTTTTACATTTGTACTCTTTATTTCTAATTTTACATGTGAATATTTATTTCAGCGTCTAACTGATAGCAAGCTGCAATCGATCTTCAGCGATCTAAAGATTCATGACAAAGAAGAAATTGCGTACAAGCATTTCAGGTTTGCAGGAAAGGATTCTGATGGCTTGGAAGAGGCACGTCTGAGACAAAAGCTCATCGGTAACTTTTGTCATCCATTTATTTTTATCTCTAGTGTTTTACTAAATCCTAATCTTCTGTAACTTTTTGTCAAAGGAATAATGAGCACATATGACCTATTGGAACATTTTGCTGATACTGAAGATCCAAAGTTACTTAAAATGCACAAAGCGTTAAATGATGGTAGCAATTATGTTGCAAAGGATGTATTTAATGATATAAGACTGAACAAATTATGGGCTAAAGCTGAAATGGCTGGTTTTACCGGTATGTTTTTTTAAATTACTGATATTACATCAATAGAAGTATCTTATAAGAAAATTTAATTAAAAATTATAATTCTGTTTTTATTTTAGATGAGGAGCTTGAGACTTTAAAACAAGAGTTTCAACATCATCAAGAAAAAGTGGACGAATACATAAGTTTATTGAAAGAAGAGTTTAAAGATTCCAAGAAGTCTGAAAGTAAGTCTTTTACATTCATATATATATTTTAAATTATAATGCTATTTTTATATTTTATATTTATATATATCATCTAATATTTGTAGATATCTTACACCTTAAATCAGAAAGCTGGAACGAGTTGGAAGAACAGGAGGAATTATTAAACAATGTACCAGATCAGAAAATAAGTCAAATAGAAAAGGCAGATTTTCTTCGGTATTATTATATGTTATAAAAGATATATATATGTGTATAAACTAGTTTTTATGATTGATTCTATTTTTTTAAATAAAAATCAATATATTTAGACTCAAAATTTTAAAACAAATTAAATGATAAAAGATACGAGTCAAAGTAAGATGTTAAATAAACTTTAATATTAAAATAATTTCTATTTTTTATTTAGAGAAAAATATTTGGAGCTGAGAAACGGAATTGATCGTTTAGACAGACTCACCGCAAAGGGACCAAATTATAAAGAATTTATAGAACCTAAAGTACAAGGATTATGGAAGACTGCACTGGAGGCAAAATTCTCTCCTGAAGAATTAGCGTCTTTAAAGGTATAATAATAACTATCGCTATAATAATTATAATTTAATCTCATTTTTTCATACATATCTGTAAGAATAATTATAAGCTATAATTATAGATGTTAAATGATAAATGTTAAGAAAGCCATTATCAAAATTTTCATAATTCAGATTGTTAATTGAATGCATTTCGATTATATTTATATCAAAATAAATATATATTGCATAGGAGGAACTTTTACACTATGAATCAAGGTTACTTAAGCTGCGACATTTACATGCAGAGGAAGCTTTGGAAGCAGCACAGAAAAAACAACTTCATGATTTAGAAAATTCAACTGCAGAACAACACATAAAGAAACATATTAGAACTGTACAAAAACTTCATATGGATCTAGAAACTAAAATCATGCAGAAGCATACGGAATTATAAAGAAATTATATAAGAAGCTATAAATCATTATTATTAAAAAAAAATGCCAAAATACATGAAATCTAATTACTATATATAAAGCAGAAATAGATAATCATTTATCATGAAATAAATAGTGAAATAATCATCTATAGAAATGTTTATATTCAAATAATTTGTCAATTTACATTTTTAGTAACAATTTTTACTAAATAATTTTGATGATTTTCTAACAAAACTCTTTAATAGATTTATATAAAGCATTTAATATATATATAAATAATTTGTACTATAAATAGAATTTTTTATATAAACAATGTATGAGAACGAATTGTAGGGAAACTATTTTATTTTTATCTAAGTTGAGTACATAAAAAAATGGAAGAATGTGAAGATTGTTTTTGAGTACATTTATAACATCTTCAACAATTAAATTGTTAATTGTAAGATTATAATTACAATCCAGTTGCGAGTTTATTATTATTAGTCTTCTTTTTCTCTTTCGATTTCCCTTGATCCTTCGATCCGACTAGTTTCTCACATTCGCACCAAGGTGTGCTTGATTTGTCACACAACAGAGAGATATTAATAACTGTTAGGGAAGTATCTGATATAGTCATCTTGATTGTATCCAATATTTTATATGAGACATTATTCAAGCCAGTTTGCCGGTCTCTTTTCCTAGTAATCTCTCGCTGATTATAACACTTCGTCATATCTCTCTTTCTATGATTTCTATCGTGTATATGCCTATAATACATATTTCACATTAACACTTGATAAAGCAGTATCGCACGCAACGATAAGTGTTAACTTATATCTAGTTTTATTTAATATCTTACGATGAATTTAACAAAGAAATTAACAAAGTCTCATGGAATGAATCTCACCTAAATGTATTATGCGTTCCTGTTGATATATTCTGCGGACGACTGACGCTCAAGCCAGCCTCTTTCAGTCTAACATAAAACTCGTCGTCTTCAAGACCCCATCCCCAATATTTGTTGGACATCCCATTTACCTGTATGAAATGTTCTCTGCAAAAATGCATATTCAATAATAATAAACAATATATTATTTCTTTATAGTTTAATTTCACATTTAATATTATTACTAAGATCCAGCTTCAACTGTATTTGGCGCTTCTTTACTTATTTTACTTATTCATCTAGCGATCTAAATGTAACTTATATCATTGTTTATTATTACAATTTTAAACATACCTTTTAATAAGTAATATACCACCAATAAAGGTAAAATAATGATATCGGGGATGTAAGTTTGGTGACGATATATGATGAGGTCCTGCACTTGGATATGCGTACGATAACTGATCGTTCATAGGCAATAAATCTACATCGTGCATTGCAATATAATCAAACGCTTTCTCTGTTTCGAGAAAGCCTATGTTTATAAGGGATGCTCGATTGAATCTATATCTGTCCACCTGGGGAAAAAAAATTAAATATGAGATATATATTCAAGTAATATTCTAATTGCTTAAAAGGTTTTTTAGAACTACAATACCTGATTTAATATAAATATATGATAATCTATATTTTGTTTGTCTAGAAATTTCTGCATATGTGGCACGAATATTAGTAATTCTTCAAAGCGATCCCTAAATGGCACTAGTATAGCCAATTGATGTTCAGCTTTCTTTTTACGTACATTGATCTCATCAGTTATTTGCTTGAGATGTTGACTTGGTTGAGCATTTGCTTCACACTTGCACTCATCTGAAATAATAAAATCACATTTAAAAAATCATTTTATCACTATATATTGTGATATATTTTTCAATATGTCAATATAACTAACCGATACTGATGGGAGATATGCTAATTATACATGATGTGACGAAGGTGATCAAGATGCAAGCAAAGATATATTTAAACCTTGTGCTTTTCCAAATATTATCCATGCCAAATAATGTTTGCAGAAATTATCTCATAAAATATAGATTGCAGGTATTAATAATTAATTAACAAAACAATATTGCTTTAATGTTCCACTGATATCTGTTACTGACATATCTTCTTTCTTGGAAAAGAGAAGTTTTCTCCAAAAAGGAGAATTATTATTAGAGAATTTTAAGTGCTCAATCGTAGCGGAAAAAAGCGAGCCCAAAAACAATATAATTCACAATATTATTCTTACAATTACTTTTACAGTGGTGATTAATAATGCAATTGATAATCAAATGAATATTCTGACATAGAATTGTTGTGAAGTACTTCATGAGAAGCGGCATGTCTTTAAAAGGCCA